TCTTTCCTGTTTTGTATGTGCATGTGTGTGTGTGCATGTTCATGTATGTGTGCACACGCCCTGGACATCTGTGTGGAAGCCGGAGGCTGGCATCAGGTGCCTTCCTTAGTCTTTCTCAACCTTTTCCTGAGACAGCATCTCACACTGAGCCTGGGGCTCTCCACTTTGTGCTTTATTGGCTGGCCGACAAGCCCAGGGAGCATCCTGTGGCCATCTCCCCAGTGCCAGCAATACTGGTGGCCCAGGACTGGCACTACAGCTGCACACCACTATGTCTGGCCATTTTGTGTAGGTGTCTAGGGATTCAATTCAAATCCCCATGTTCTCATGGCAAGCCCTTTAGTGAGGAAGCTGTCTCACAGCCCCCAGTGCTAACCGGTCTAGTAGAATCTTCTCTCTAACACCCAAGCTCCTTCCTCTTCCCTTGCTCCCACCAGCCAGGAGAGTGTGCTGGGCTGTAGTCTAACAGTCTTAGTGAGAGTCCCCCTGGCTGTGACCAGGGGAGCAAGCTTTTCTGGCTTTCTGACAATGTCAGGAAACACCCAAGGGCACCGCAGCTGCAGCAGACGCAGTGGGAGGGGTTGCTAAAACCACACAGATTGTCACTGAAACCTTCATACCTTCTGGTTCTACCAACTTACTTTCTCAGAATCTACTCTATAGAAACCATCAAGCAACAGAAAACGCTACTGAAACAACCCAGATGGTAGGATTGAAGTTTATAACTAAACCTTGTCTGCTTCCAAAGATAAAAGAAAGCTTAGACACAGTGAAGTCACAGAAGGTATAAAAATAGACCAGATCAATGTATATAGAGAAAAATATCTTAATCTAAGACAGATATTGAAAAAGATTAACCGCGGATTAGACAATGAAGAAGAAAGGGTTATCTTTTATTCTGGGTGCCTTAAGCAGTGAGGATGAAGAAGATAATACTGATGAGGGGAGATAACCTCAGCTAACATTCATTTACCCTATTTGCCTGTTCATGTCCCAGATTAGTTTATTTGTTGCGAGTGTAATGAAAGAGCCGAGGCTGGACCATTTATAAAAAAAAAAGAGGTGAATGTAGCTCGCACTTCGGAAGACTAAAAGTTCAAGACTGGGTGGCCATGTGGATTCTTCTTGGTTGGGTCACAGCTCAGTGATTGGCGTCACAAAGGAGCGTGGAGGAGTACCTGAGAGAGGGAGAGATAACTTGGAAAGATAAACAGCCAGAAACAGGGAGGGGTAGTACTAATGACTTCCCACGAGACTTCACCTCTTTTTGTTTTGTTTTTGAAATAGGTCTTGCTGTATAGCCCATGCTAGCCCAGGTCTTGTTATATAGACTACACTGGCCTCAAGCTTACATTAAGGCCCCTGCCTCCACCTCGCTGGTACTGAGGTTCCAGGTGTGCACCGCAATGCTCTGCCCCACCTCTTAAAGGCTCAGCTTGTTTCTCAATATCTCCGTACAGAAGACCAAACGTGAGCTGCTGGGGTACACACCAATGCTTTCCAGTCTCTAACACACACATACGACACCCCGATTCTACAGGTGCCATCCTCAGTTTGTCACACAGAGGAGTAACAGAAGGGCAGAGTGAATCAGCCTGCTCCAGGTTGAGCTTCTGTAAGGACAGGTGCCTGTGGTTGAATCAACCCCATCTCCCTCACCCTCACCCTCGCCCACTACAGCCTGCGCACAGCCTCACTGTGTAGGTAAATGTGGTGTGCTTCAGTTTACCTCAGAATCACCTGGCAACCATAACAGGGAGGAACCCTTAGCTCTGGATTGCAGACAAGGACACCAAGCCTCAGGGGCAGCCAAATCTTTTCCCAGGGCCCCAGAGCTGGTAAACGAAAGGTAGAATACGAGCCAGGTCTGTCTGCCAGGTGTATCCTGACTCTGCTAAATGTGTCAGGAGCATCAGTGAGGCAAGAGTCTTGAAGGCCCTGTGGCCTTCAGGAACCAGCAGACAGCTACTGGGTCCAGCTACTGTGCCTCCTGTCCAAGGTGGGTCCACAGGGAGGTGGCCACTATCAAGAACCCATATCTGGAAGGCAAGGCTGCCTTCGGTTAAAGAGGCTCGTGGGCAGGAACACAGGCCTACTACTGAACATGTGGGACCCGCCAAGAGGCAGTCAGTCCCAGGAAACGCTGGACGCCGTGGGCATGGCTGCAGCCTCCTCACGGGTGATGGTGTCACAGGAGTGTTCATCCCCACACTGCCAAGTTTATTATAATTTACCAAATCCCCATCGCCCCCCCCCAAGTGATTTATACAAGTAGTAGAAAGGCTCTAGTGTCTGTCGCTGAGTGTTCTTATCATTTTTTTTAAATTATTATTGGGTGGGGAACATTTTTATTTTGTTCTGCTTTTGGGAAAAGTCTAAGAGCCCAACACAGCACAGACTGGCTTTGAGCTTGCAGCCATTCTCCTGCTTCGGCCTCCCGAGTATTGGCGTGAACCGTGTGTAAGCCACCATGCCTGGCTAACTACTTTGCACATACATGGCTTTCTCACAAATGAGTATTGGTTTGTTGATTGAATCAAGAAACAAAGGGCAACGGGTGGGATGCTCTGTAATCCTAGTGCTGGTGGGAGTGAGGGTGAAGGAGAGTGGGGGTGAGGGGGAGTGGGGGTGAGAGGGAGTGGGGATGGGTGTGCGCAACTTTGAAACCGGACTGGACCACACAGTAAGACTCTGTCTGGAAAGAAGGAAGGAAGGAAGGAAGGAAGGAAGGAAGGAAGGAAG